AAAAGTTACATTTTCTTCAGGTAGTAAACTTGTAATAGGAAATTGAGGTAAAATGCGAAACAATCAACTAATTACCAAACTTAACAGCAAACTCCTAATGGAAAATGAACTGGCCTAAATGGAATGACGTCACACGTAAGTGCTCTGGCCTTGTTCTTGAGACGGAGGTGGTGAAAAGTGGTAGAAAACCGCATTTCCACAAAACAGCCCACTAGGAAAAGTTGTTGGTAATGGAGTTGTCCATAAGGTGGGCAGATTGTTAGTGGCGCACGCGATTGCCTGGTCTTCTCGTGTTTCATTTAGATGAAAATAATTCGATTTTTCCCATCACTAGAACAAACGTCATGGTACTCGGACTATAATAACTCATTCGATGACTCTCATTATGGGTGTTATTTTCGTACGTGCCCTTGAAAATCTGTGGCGCGCAGTCCCAGTAGCCCATGATTTTTAGAGCGACCATCACCATCGTTAGTGTTTTGTTCTGCGTCGGCACATCGCCATCCCTCGCCTTTCGACGTCGCTCGCGTCGCGGGAAAAAACACTTTTTCAACTCTCAGTGTCGAAGTGTTTTCGGTGTGACACCGAGTGGGTCCCGCTCTGCACTTTGCGCTTAGTCCTACCGCAATGACACAGACGCCAACTTTACCACTAGTAGAGACGGTCAGGGTCGAATTATGAACAAACAAGCGGCCAGAGCGCCGATTATCATCTTGTGAGCGCACTTTGTAAATATTTGCGATAAAGTGCTGACTTGATAAACGCCCACCATCGAGCGCGAAAACTGCTTGGAGCTCGAACCGCTGCTATGTGGCGAGCCAGTCATTGTTCAGCTACGTGCAAAGTGTAGCTGAGCTGCACCACAGCTCTGACGCCACCAGTCGGACCAGTTTGGCGGAAAATCGGCGCTTTTTTGGGTGTTTTTTCCCGGTTTGTCCGATAGGTAGTATGTCGATGGTGCGACGCATCACGACGTAGCAGGGTCGCGTCTGGCCGCAGTTTTATTTTTAAACATTTTCGAAGTTTTGTTGATGCATCCGCCGAGTTCACTAGTTCAGCTTGTTCGGCTCAGACGCCTCGTCTGCACGGTTTGTTGATTGCTCTCCTCGCCCTCGCTCGGAGTGGCGTCCGCCCAGCAAACCCTGAAGAGTGACTAACCGAAACGAAGCGAGTGCCTTACAAAACTTGCTCACTTGGAAAAGGATTTGTGATTGTGAACCGGTCTGTGATAAGAATTGTGGTGACGATGATGAAAAAGGAGAAGCCAATGATGTCGGTGACGGCGATCATTCAAGGGGCGCAACAGCAGCACTGGGGCAGGGGCTTCGGGGGCTTCAACGGCCCCCAAATGTCTTTAGGTAACTAAACAGATGGGCGCGCTTTTCACCTTGTCTTGTCCCCGTGATGATTGATCGTTGCATGTTTAGGCGTCAAGGACGGCCTGGATTTTCGCCGTAAAACAATCTGGAACCGATCCAATCTTTTGTGTTTGACTCCATTAAGAAAACCGGTAAAAAACACTTTTTCTGGGATATTTTGCCAATCTGTCAACGTTGTTTCAAAGTACGGGCTGATGCAAAATTGATATTAACCGTTGAAAATGGAATATCAACTTTGTTAATAAGCATAATTTATAATGGTCCCATGTTTGATTTTTCGAGCAGCATTCGAACAGAAATTACCTTTGCCTCAAATTGGCTTTTGCCCAGAACATTGTTGCCGAACTTCCGATCTAGTTTTTTGCAAATATCTCAGTTTCCGATAGGAGTTGATTTATTTTACTGCTTCCCCTGTACTCTCTAAACACCCCCGGAGGACCGAGGCCAATCTTGAATCACCCTGTATAATCTACGGGAATAAGGAGCAATGAAATAGCGTGCATCAAACCCATTAGGGTAATTTGCGATAGAAACAGGCAAAAACAAAGTCCATCGGTAATCGGCTTGATGGACTGAATCACGAAATGCACTTGACCTTATTTACATTGGTGTTGTGCGCGACAAGGCTATTTTAGTCTATTTCAGGATCGATCACTGTTGAGAAACTCGCGACCTTATTAAGGAAACTGTAGCGATCTCGGTGTTAATTCCTAGCCAATTTCCTCTCTAAATTTTCCACTTGTTCAATTGTGCATTCACTAATTTTTTCTTTTTCTTCAAGGTTACCCCTGTACTAATGGTGAGTACGTACTTCAGTTTTCATGTGCCTTGATGATCATTGTTTGTTGTGCTTGTGTGTTTAAATAGTTTCATCACTGCGCTTTGTGCCATTCATTCATTCTTCAAGCACCCGCTTAACAAAGCGTTTTTACATGCGGAGCGAGTTTCGCTGGAAACTAAGTTTACCATACTGGAAGTGAAAGAGTTTAGAAGAAACTCATTAAGTCGTGTTGTGTTTGAGCTCTTGCTCAAGCAAAGTCAAAATGTCTCAATGTTAGAAAAAGTTTGCCTCAGAATTTGGCCTCTACAGAAACTGCCAGTCAGAAGTTTTGCATCGTTTCTAGTTTAGAAGAAATTGAGGTTTTTTTCGTAAGA